TTGGCTCTACTTACAAAATAGGTCAGACTCTATTCTCACCATCGTGTTTCTATCATTTTTGTCCCAGCCTCCATCATCTCATTGGTATTGCAATTGCTACCTCCCTCTTCCTGCTTCCAATTCTCAATCCATATTTGTAGAATTACATTTGAGTTGAAACAGGCCATTGCTTAGCATCACATTAAGTCCACTTAGAAATGCAACTTTGACCTAGAAGCAGCTAGAACCCCATTACAGACTATGAAGTTTCTGATCACAAGGTGTTTGATTTTGCAAGGCTCTCTTGCTAATGGGAAAGCATTACATCAAAGGGAAAGAAACTGCAGAAAGACCAAACCTGGAATTTTACCTGGGAGAGTTGTTGGGAGGATTTAGCGGTGGAAAAGCTGCCCTGATTCTCTTAATTTTCCTTCGCCTGAGATTTGAGGCAGAAAATTCTATGACGCCATTTGTTATATTTTACAGTGTGCCTGGGCTCTTCAGCTGGGTTAATTTAAAGCTCTATTTCCCAAGAACCTCCTGTTTGTTTGTCATTCATTTACTGTCCTGTTTGTTTCACCCTCTTGAGCATGATCTCACAAGCCCCTGCCCACCCTCCTTTACTGCAGTAATATGTGTGGGAGAGCAATAACCCAGTCTTTACAGGTCAGAACTAGAAGAGTCTTTAGAGATCCTCTGGTACAGAAGTCCACTAGATAGTACAAAACAATCAAGTAGTAGGATTTTTCCTGACCGCATATTAAGTTATATCCCTTTTTTCACCATAGACATTGAAGACTTGTTCTTGCCCACAAATAAATATTCACTTACTTTTCTGAAAACATAAGGTCCTCTCTCTATATAGCCTAAAAGAACAATTCTCAAATTGTTAAAAATATAATTGTCATGTTCTGTATCTTGACTGGGGTGATTGTTACATGAGTATATACAGTTTTCAAAAATCATCAACCTTGTACACTTAAAATGTGGGGCTTTTACTGTATGTAATTTATACCTCGATAAATTTGATTTTAATATTATAAGTAAAGTTAATAACAAATAACTAACACCCAAAATTTGTAACTTATATGATGAGGAAAGAGTAATACCCTTAAGAGATTTAAAACATAATTCAGTTACCAATAAAGAGTCAGCTCATTTAATCATTAATGAAAGAACCAACAGTATGACACAGCTGGTTTGAAAAGAATTTGAGAATATTTAATAAGCAAAAGAATGCTGAAATATGATTGCTGAGTTAGAGCCAAACTTCTTTCATGTCCTACAGGATAATAAAATAGTAACCTTTGGGGTTGGTTATCTTCTCCATTGGACATAAAAAAATCAGTTTCCTACAAATTAATCTCTAACTTTACAGAATTATGAAACACCGTTGCCTCCTAATCAATTGTTAGTCAAAGTTAAATTTCTCCAGAGAGTCAGATGTCCCTCATGTGGATTTATTAGAAATTCTCCACCATGGCATTAAAAATTCACATAATCATCACATGTCATATTTTTGGATACTAGATAATTTCCCTCCACGTGTTTTCATTATTCCACATTTGATAAAAACAAGAAATATAATAATTCCTTATTAAATCTACCTAAGAAAAACAACAGCACAGTATGACAATAAATGGCAACTGCACTTTAGGCCTCGGTGTGGCGGTAACAGAAAGTGGTGAAGACTATGGCAAACCAGAACACCATGCCCCATCTTACGGGGAAGGTTGCTATGCAACTCCAGCCAACTGTTGCCACGTGGGAGAGCTGGTCTTGTATTGCCATATCTTCTTCTTTTTAAAGGAATCTGGAAATAGAAATTTTTATGTGGAAGCTTTCAATTGTTAAATGTTGACAACAAGTTCAAACTGCTCTAAAATACTGTAAAGGCCAACAGGATGAGAGAAAGAATAAAATTCCTGAATCAGTGTCATTATCCAACCTAGAGCAATATCTTCTTATGGGAAGACTGAGGCCCATAGAAAGAAAACAGCCCCAAATCACAAGGTGAGTTTGGGCCAGGCAGAATTTAGAACCCAGGTCCCTGGATTCTCATGAGGCAAACATTATAGGTATTTTCTTTGTCTCCCACCAAGTGTTTCATGTTTTATTTGCTGACTGACCAAATATAAATGACTGTGTATGAATGATTGCAGTACCCCTAGGTCAAGTTCAAGCCAGTGTGATGTGTCCACTGTTTCATAGGATTTGCATGGGCTTTACCCTGCATCCTATCCTTATTTACAATAACAGTAACTATCATTTTTTGAGCACTAACTCTATGCTAAGTTCTGTACTAGATACTTTACTCACATATCATTTAGTCCTGTGATAACCATATGATACAGTCACCACTATTACCTCCATTTTACAGATGAGGAAACTGATGCTCGAAAAAGTAAAAGCACTTGCTCAAAGCCATAGTCCCACATATTTATGGCTCCAAAGTTGATGGTCTTAACCATTGGACTAGACTATCTTCACTCATTCATCCATTTATTCAATCAATAAGTCAGTCAAATATCTAAAATTTGCTGGTGCCAGTTGCTGAGCCAGGCATTATGGGGGACTACAACTTCGTAGACCCAAGTCCCCACCCCCCCAATCTAAACTCCTGAGACTGAGGCTAACTGGATGCACATTCAACCCACATCCTATTCTTCTAATTCAAAATAACAAGTGGTTCTTGAAACACACAGAGGGCTGGGCTATGTAATTTATAATTCAAAAAAGATGACTTTAAAACTAGAAGAAACAACCACTTCTAGATGTTTAGGGTTCCTGTTCAAATTAAAATTTGTGACAATGTGAACATATTGGTAGACCAGATCTCTTGAAGACCAGTCCCACTGATGGGAGGAAAATACTGGTCTTGACTGCTAGGATAAAGAGTTTGGACTATACTTGAGCTCGATGGGCAGGCAGATCCTAGAGTCTTGAAGAGAATGGCATTTTAGGCAGAATATGCACCTCCAATTCTACAAAGGGAGACTGAAGGGATGAAGACTACTTCGGAGGTTCTTACACAGAAAGAAAAAAAAAGGAAAAATGAAGAATAGTTATTTCAGGGTACATTCAACAGGAGTAAGGTATAAATACCCAGATGTCACTTAAACTCTCTGGAGTCAGGTTTCTAGCAGGACCTTCATTAACGAAAGCAGTGTGATGGAAAGAAAAGACTTTTCTGGGTTCAAGGTATAATATCTACCTTCTAAGCTTCTTGTGAGGGAGAACTAAATGGTATAATATATATCAAGCACTTGGTAAATGGTACATGTTCAGTGTTTACTTCTTTCTTCTGCTTCCTTCTAGCTACAAGTAGAGTTGGCACATAAACTTATAGGTTATGGGACAGAGGAGTTCAAATAACAGCATTTTTTTTTTCTATATACAGTACAGTGGTATACCTCAAAATGGTGTTCTGGGAGCACTGCAAATTCTGAAAGTGTTTTTCACCGTTAGAGAAAGATTCCATTTTAACTGGGTTGGATAAGAAGGAAGAACTTTTGCCTGAACACAAGCCCTCATCCCAAAAGAGCTGGGCATCCATGAATAAGTCCCTTATCTCTCTGGTTTCAGCTCTTCATCTATAAAATAGAGATAGTCTTCCTTGCCCACCTTATAGAAGTGTTGGTGGGGTATGTCGAACAAGCTTGAAAAGGGTCTGGAGGCTTTGGCTAGAAATAAATGGTAACTATATATTCAAGGGTTTTAGAGTTTGCAAACTGGTAACAGAGCTAGGCAAAAGCTAGAAATGTTCCAAAAAAGAAAGAAAACTTAAGAGTTCTTATAGAGAAAAGTGAATGACCAGTCATGCAAAAATTGTCAGTCATGCATTCTTAGCCTTAGGATTGGTCCAGGACAGTCTTCAGTCAGATGTCAGGCAATCTAGATGATAGATGTCAGGTGGTCTGAATATGTGAGTCTTTCAGGGGGGAAATGATCAGAGGGTTATCTGGAGGTCTGATGTATATCCAGATGTATATTCAGGCATTGACACAGGGCTAGAAAGTTAAAAGTTTAAGTTACCAGGCTAGTTAGGACAAGAATAGAGTCTTTCCTTGTGCTTCAACCTTCATATTGATACTTTTTGCAGCTTGGTTAAAGTGACTTTAGTTTATATTCTTTCCTCGAGCACAGGTTTGTAGAAATTTTAACATTTAACCCATGTAAAAATTTAACGTGGGTTGAAGAAGAGGGAAGAACTTTTGCCTGGACACAAGCCATTGCACTATTGCTAAGCTCATCATTACTTGCTTGCGGAATATTTCCCTCTTTCCAGCTCTGACTTCTCCCATGCTGAGGGAGCACGTCAGCGGGAATGGAGTCTGATTCTTCGTTCAAAACCTAACACCCAGAATTACCTGATTCAGTGACTGGCTTTCGCAGTCGGGGGTAGGGGACGGAGGGGGGACATCGCTCTGGTGTAACTTCGTTGAATTAAAATTCTCTGTAAATCAGCGATCAACTCCAGGGTTACCGAGAGAACCCTGAATAAAGGGATCTATAGCATTTAGAAGCTATTACTGCGCCGTTTGTGGCGATAGTCCCAAATTTTAACATATCTTTATATTCCTATTTACTCTATGCAATTGTTGGAAGTTCTTTTTTTCACGTTCATTGACTTAAAATACATCTATATCTCTCCCTACAGTTTGTCTTCTTGATATTCCTTTGTGATTGGCTGGAGATCATCTTAATGTGATTGGTTAAAGCATCCGCCCGTTACCTTTCCCATGATCCGACAGAGGAAATGGAAAAAAAAAAAAAGTGTCTTAAATTCAGCCGTTTTATTGGCTCCGGTGTAGCTACGTACAGCGGGGGGGGCGTGGCCACTTCAAATTTGTGGTTGGTTCTTATGTCCGTCAGTCACGCTGCCGGAAACCATTTCTATTGCCCGCACTGCACCCGGTTGACGGGAGGGGTTTAGGCTGGAAGGGTTTTCATTGGTTCGGAGCACTCCAGCTCGCGACCGGAGCCCGCCCCCGCTCTCGGTTGCCGTGGTTGCAGGCTGGGCCCGCCCTCTCGCCCGCTGACTGTGAGGCTTAGGGCGCAGGGAAGCAGGTCGGTTGGTCGGTCGGGAACGAGGCTTCCGCGGCCAGGCCCGCGCGGAGCTGTTGCCATGGCAGCTGCCGCCGGGGGCGCGGACAACGATCCGCGCTCGGGCGGCTCGAGCTCGGATGGCGAGTGCGCGGTGGCGCCGGAGCCACTGACGGGCCCCGAGGGCCTTTTCTCCTTCGCGGACTTCGGATCTGCGCTGGGCGGCTGCGAAGGCCTCCCGGGCCGGGCGTCCGGCGGGGCCCAGTCTCCGCTGCGCTACCTCCATGTCCTGTGGCAGCAGGACTCGGAGCCCCGCGATGAGCTGTGCTGTAAGATCCCCGCCGCCCGGCTGAGGCGCGCTGCCAGGCCCCACCGCAGGCTCGGGCCCACGGGCAAGGAGGTGCATGGTGAGGAGCGCGCGGGAGGCGGGGCTGGCCCTCCGCTGGGAATCTGGCCCCTGGTCTCTCTCCCGAGCCCCCTCATTCCGGAGTCCTCCGACGTCCTATCTAAGGGCCCGGAGTGACCCCTGAATCTTCTTTCAGTAGTAATAATTATTAAAGCTGCTAAGGACCATGAACGTGAGGCGGCGGGGGAGACTTCCTGCTCAGAACCAGTCACTCTAGGCTTTTCACCTTTGGTAATTCCTGAATAGAAACTTTTCATGACTCTTGGTGTTTATTAGTAGATAATTAAATGGCGTACTGGGAAATAATTTTATTATCAGAGAGGGGAGGCCAGAACCTGTAGCCAAATCTTACCAGTTTGTTTCAGTGCACTGACCTGGATTGGACTTCTCTACCTCATTTCCGCCTTAGGCAAACTGTAGAAACTTTCAGCCTTAGTTTTCTCATCTGTAAGATGGGTACAATACCTGCTTTACAGGGATGTTTCAAGAGTTAAGTGAGGTGATGCATGTATAGCTATTATTCTGCTTTTGTTGTGTGCCAAACGCTGTTGCATGATATGTGATCATTTCTAATCCTCACAACTCATTGAGATCCAGATACTTTCTGTTTTATGGAAGAGGAAACTGAGGCTCAGAGAATTTGCCTTGCTGCAAATCACATAGCTAGAAAGTGGCTGTACTGATATTAGAACCCAGGTCTGCCGGACTCAGCCTCCTGCTCTGGTATATCTACCGAGTATTCTTTTACAATTTGTGGATGACATGGAAACCAATGCCTTGAAAGATTTAAGAAAGGGGACTTTTAGGATCCTTTTGAGGACTATGAGTCCACCCGTATCTGAGTAGTGTTATAAAGATTAAATGAGAATTTGAGAGCATGGTATAAACCATAAAGCGCTCTATGAATGTAAGGAATCCATATGGATCTGAGTTGCAATTTTTGACCATTTCTCTGATGACAGAGGCTTTCTATTGGCCTTTAATATAGAGGTAGTGTCATCGTAGGAGAAAAATGTTTCTGCTTAGGAATTACCAAATTTAAGTAAGTTATTTGGGAATATAAGGTTATCTGTGTAACCTGTTCACAGGGTTTCCATGTAAACATTTCATTTTGTCTTTACAACAACTTAGGGCGATAAGGATAGAGCTCAGCTTTGTTTGCGAACGATGGACCTGAAGCCAGGAGGGTTAACTAACTTGCTCAAGTCACCTAGCTTCTACAAGTGGCAGAGCCGAGATCTGGCTCCAAAGACCTTGGAGGATTTGCTACAGAATGTAGGCTTTTGCACTGGCTGTGCCACGTTTCGTGTTTCTCCTTGTTCCCGGGATGGTGTCTCTTGTATCTTAGCACTTCTCTTTCTTTAGATGCTACTGTGGCTGAGAAGTGGGTTAACTAGAAAGCCATTCACTTTCTGCTTCATCATGGCTGTTTTTTTCCTAACTGGCACACTCTTCCTCTCTTCACAGCTCTGAAGAGGCTGAGGGACTCAGCCAATGCCAACGATGTGGAAACAGGTGAGTGTGCAAAGCAGATCCAGCTCCGTGGGCTAGTTAGGGGAGGAAAACTCCAGGGAAGATGGTGCTTGCATTCAGTCTGCCAGCTCACCCCACGGACCAGGCTCACGGCAGTCATCTTGCAGAAGATAAGTCTGACTTTGATTGTCACTCTTCCCATGTGTTTCTGTCACCCTGAACTTCCTGATGTCGTAATATTTATGGGCTCCCCAATGGTGGGGACCTTGTCTGCTTTTGTATCCCTGACAGCCAGCAGCAGAGTAGAAACTTTGGGGAACTTCTGGTTAATGGGAATGAATAGTCAATTTTAGCTTCCAGAAGAGCCACCGTCTGCTCAGAGCCACCACCTTCTCAACCGAAGCTTTGTGGTAGTTGGGTCACTGGTTCTCAAACTTGTTTTTTGGCAGAACATCTGGAAGGCCTGGGAGAGGCTTCTAGCAGGACACCATTCTGTTTTTTGTTGTCTTTGCTCTCCAGCGTTCACTAGCTGACAGGGTGGTAGCGGTATCAAAGGACAAGTTATAGGGGAAAAGTTTTAATTTTAGCCACTGACTTAATTCTTTCTGTGACTCAGGAAAAAGAGTATATTCATTTTCTATGGCTGCTCTAACAGTTTAGCACAAACGGTTGTGTAAAACAACACAAATTTATAATCAGACAGTTCCATAGCTCAGAAGTCAGACACAGTCTTCCCTAGGCTGAAATCGAGGTGTCTGCAGGGCTGTATTTCTTTCTGGAGGCTCAAGGGGAGAATCCGTTTCCCTGCCTTCTCCAGCTTCTAGAGGTTGCCCGTATTCCTTGACTTGCAGTCTCCCTTCATCTTCAAAGTCAGCAACAGTGGACCGAGTTGTCACACTGCCATCTCTGGATCTCACAGCAGGAGAGAGTTCTCTGATTTTAAGGACTCAGTTGATTAAATTGGGCCTAAAGAATCCAGGATATTCTTCCTAGCTCAAGGTCCCTAACCCTAATCACATCTGCAAAATGCCTTTTGGGAGTGTAAGGTAACATATGGGGGTGGGGGGGATTAGGAATGGCATCTTTGGAAGCGGTTACTCTGCCTTCCTGGAGTGAACATCATTCTGTTTTGGTGGTGGGATGCTGTGGGTCCCACGCTTGGTTGGTCCCACGTCTGGCTGTGATCTAGGCTCACAGCTAGGAATAGGACCCCAGATTTAGAATGTTCATTAGCTTAGTAGGGTGCCTGTGCCTAAAATACGTGAACATAATTCAGTTTATTGTGTCACACATGTGTGGTTGAATCCCACTATTGTACTCTGATATGTGTGGAGCCCATGCAGTCCCCTGGGGAGCAGAAGGGGAGCACAAGAAGGGGAGCGTAAAAAGAGCAGAAACAGAAGCACGCTCCCCGCAATAGAACTGCACTCCCCGCAACAGAAGCGCGCTCCCCGCAAAACAGTGTGCCTGCTGTTTCATTCTCATGTGGGCCCCTTGTGCATTCTTCCAACTGGGTGTCTCCACCGAAAGCTTCCCTTCTCGATCAGCGATCAGCGCTGACAGATGCCATAGTCAACAGATAAATTGTGAGCATAGATTGAGGGCCGGGGGATTGGCAAAGCAGGCGTGGAGAGGTGATTTACCTCGGGAGCTGGGGTGCTGCACTGTGGGCCTTGCAGTGGCTCCCTCATCCCAGGCACAGCACAGTGGGCAGGCCTGGAAATGGGAGGGCTTTTCAGATCTCTTCACTTTGGTCTCTTTCTCATTAACTTTAATATTTTGAAATATTTGGGCAGCAGCCTAGATAGCTTTTCAAGGAAAAAGGATATGTGTTCTCTTTTTAGTATCTCTAATGTGTGACCAAAGAGTATTTTAATTATACTTTCCTTCCACAGAAGGTCTAGTTCATCTCAAATCAGGTATTCTCGTGGTAGCTTTATTATTTTGATAGAAAGGCTGTAATTTTCCATTCAGAGCCTCTAACACACCCATCTTCACATCTAAATGGCTGTTAGATTTACTGGGCTCTTGCAGAACTCTGACGGAGAAACTGGCTGTCGGATTATGGTTTGCACTTGTTTTATTTCTCTGCATGGTGATTGGTATTTTGTCTATTTTAGCAATTACAGTAGACATAACATTCATACTCTGCTATTGTTAAATCACAAGTGCTTTTCTGTGAATAATTATTTGAAATGTTTTACACATGGAATATATGTATTTAAAATATTTTACATATGTTTTAAATATATGCATTTAAAATGTTTTGGAAATCAGAGAAATATTCAAGAAAAACATCCATAATGTCAGCAAAGGAACTAACCTCTTAATATTAGGTCGAATATCCTTTTTGCCCTTTTTCCTATGCAGAGGAATTTTTTATGGGCTTCAGACAATGCTTTACACACAATTTTGTAGCCTGCATAATTTTTTGTGTATCATAAACATTTTCCATAGTCTTTGTAATTGTTTTTTTTCCAAAATGGAAGCGTCATTTTTTTTCCAATTTATAGAATGAATACATGACTAGGATTTTTCTAAAGCAAAAAGCAAAAAACACTATAATTTTAGTCTCCAATTACAACCACAATTTTTTAATGGATGCACACTTTAATGGATGCTTTAAGGGACAAAGCAAGAGTGATTTAGTCAGTCACATATTTGCACATTGCTTTTCATTTTTAAGGTAATTTCCCGGATATGGGATTCTTACATCAAAGGGTTTGCAAATTTCGATGGCTTCTGAGAGATATTGCTAAAGTGCTTTCCATAAAGACTACAATTGCACAAATCACAAAATAGAATGGGCTATTCTAGCTTTATCTCTTTGATCCTGGCTATCTTTTGGTGAATGTACTAATGAACACTGAGATGGCCTGATGCTCTTTATTTCTCCTCCACTCTCATAAACCTTTTCCTTCATTCATTTATTCAGTCAGTCAGCAACATTCATTGAGCAAGACAACTAATATTTTGGTCCAAGGTTTTAAGATAAACAAAACAAAAATCCTACAATATAGTTGGAGATGAAGAATATAAAGTGATATCATTTTGAAGACAAAACCCCCCAAAAAACTGAAGTTATGTGTTCAGTTGGAGAGGTCTAAGTTCTGGAGCCAGAGAAGCCTGGGTTTATATCCCAGCTTGGCCTCCTGTCAGCTGGGTGAACGTGGCTTGGGCACTTCACGTGATCTCTCTGGGCTGGAGTCTCCTGATCTGTAAAATAGACGTGATACCTTGCTGGGTGGCACAGGGGCTTAGCAGTCAGGTACCTGATTCCTGGCCGGTGCTCAGTGCACAGTAGCAATTACTCTACAATAGCATAGCGTGTCAGCAGCATGATAAACAGGGCGCTAGGAGATGTGGGAAAGGGAGTGGCTCACTCAGCTTGAGGAGACAGGAAACATTACAGAGGAGGGGGTCTCTGGGCTTTGTCTGGAAGGACTCGAGTCCTCAAGAGGTTTGTTGGGCCAGACGGAAATGTTGCTTGCTCTAAATTGATTTTGGCAGCAATTTCTACGTTTCGGTTGGATGTGTACATGTAATACATAATGCCTCACATTTTATAATGGTTCCATACTTTTTAAAGAAGAGATTTCACATCCATTTTTCTCATCAGTGCAGCTCTGGAAATTGACAGGGCAGATTATTACCATTTGCTGGCGAACTGGGGCCCGAATCTGGGTCTTCCTACTCCCAGCCAGCTCTTCCCATTGCCCCACGCTGTCGGCGGTGTACTCCTTTCTTTTTTGCTTAGCTCAGCCTGGGATTTAGTCTTTGTGGTTCCAGAACCTGTGCTTTGTCCACTAATGGGCCACCTCCTGGGAGCAGAGTAAGCATCAGCCAGCAGCGTGGGCAGCTGTGTCCAGCATGAGTGGACGTGTGTTCATACTCAGAGGGATGAGGCCACAGTTTTTGCTGGTGATTTCTGTGACTCTAGAATTCCTGACTCTGAGGGCCAGGATCCTTCTATGAGGTCCTACCCCAGACACGTAGTTTGAGCACGCAGAATCCATAGCCCTCCGTTGTGCCCTCAGGAGAAAGTCCCTTGTCACTGTACTCCCTTTGGGACCAGCATCTAGGAGGGTCTGGCTCTCCCGTGCATACCTTGCTTGGAGGAGCCCCTGAGCAGCCCTCTCCAGCCCCTGGGACCTGCAGCTTAGCTTACACTGCCGCTCTCTCCCTGCTTCTTTGCCCTCTGTCTTGGTGGTGTCAGTGCAGCAGCTGCTGGAAGATGGCGCGGATCCCTGTGCAGCCGATGACAAGGGACGCACAGCTCTACACTTCGCTTCCTGCAATGGCAATGACCAGATTGGTGAGTTCTGGGGAGAGAGGAGGGAGTGGGCTGGGCAAATAGCATCTCTCTTGAGGTGCTAGGGGAGGATCTGCTTCTGCACAGACGGTGGTGCTAGATGTAAGGAAGAGCCAGCAAGGTGGTGCTTGTCCCCCTCACTGCTTTAGCCTGTGGAACTGGCACTGCCAAGCTAGGGAAGAGGTAACCCTGAGGACAGCACATGACTGCCTCTGAGGTCGGGGCCAGTCCTTCAAGACATTCAGGCCACGTTTAACCAGTACGAAGGGCAGCCGCAGGACAGCCCCCCCACCCCGCCCTTTTATTTTGAAGTATTTTTCTACTTCGCCATCTTGACTAGTACTCCAGGCTTTTTTTTTAGGAGTCTTTTTTGGGTGTCGTCTAATTTATAAACTGAACTTTCTGTATGTGTACGCTGGTGTAACCACCACCTGGATCAGGACAGAATATTTTCAGCACCCCCCAGCCTGACTCTGCCCCACCCAGTCCTCACCTATGTGAACTTCATTCACCATAGAGTAGTTTTGCTTGTTTTTGAATTTCACTTAAATGGAAGCATAGAGTATGCGGTCTTTTGTATCTGGGCTTCTTTCACTTGATGTTATATCCTTGAGATTCATTCCTGAATGTCGTGTGTGAATGTTGTTTGTTCTTTCTTCACGGTTCACTCATTTTACTATTGATGGACTTCTCTGTTGTTTCTAGGTTTGGGCTACTGAGAAGATTCTCATACAGGTGGCTTGGTGCATATAATCACTTAGCTATGTTAGATATAAACCCAGGAGTGGAATCGTTGGGTCACTGGGTTGGGTCGCACAAATATTTAGATTTAGTAAATACTACCAAACTTCCAAGGTGGTTGTAGCACTATACACTCCCACCAGCAATGTAAGAGAGTTCCACATATTTCCATGTCCTTGCTAATGCTTGGTTTCGTCTCTTTAATTTTAGCTGTTTTGGTATAATGGCATCTCATTGTGGTTTGTTTTGCATTTTTCCGACAGCCCATACTGTCAATCACATCTTCATATATTTATTGGCTATTTTTATATCCTCTTTGGGAGTATCTATTCAAGTCTATTGTCCATTTTTTAAACAAGTTGCTTATCTTTTTCTTATTGATTGGTAGAAATTCTTTATATATTCTATTTACAAATCATTCATCAAATATAAATGACTGACTTTTTCTGAGCTTGCTTTTTTGTTCTTTGAATGGTGTCCTTTGATGAATATAGCTTCTTGATTTTAATGTATTTATCAATCCTTTTTTTGTGTGCTTTATCATTTTTTTCTTTTTTATCAGTCTTTTCTATGGTTAGTAATTTTGTGACCTATTTGAGGAACCTTCGCCTATCCCAAGGTCATGAAGATATTCTCCCGTTTCCTTCTTCAGGCCTGACTGAGCTTTCACGTGTAGGTCTGCGGGTCCTCTGGAATTAGTTTCTGTGTATGGTGTGAAGCTCATCCTGGCTCCCACTGTGACTTACTCTGCTCGCACATCCGTCTGGGCAGTTGATGAGTCCCTGGCGCTATCACAGCCCACCCTTGAGGAGACTCTCGAGGAGGAGGTGCTCAGCATCACCTGGTGGCCTGATTCCTACTATGGCACTTGGCTGTGAAAAGAACAGAAAACGCCCTTGAGAACCTTAACTAGAACTTTCTTTAACCCTTAAAATCTCAGTTTTGTAACACCTGCATAGCCCAGGAGGCCCTCTCAGGATGCTCAGTTCCCGGCCCGCAGAGGCCTGCACATGAACGCTGTGAGTGAATGAGTGAGTGAGTGAAGGAAACGATACAGGAAATCCTGTTTGTTTTGTGTCCACACTTTGAGTGAGCCTCTTTAGCTAGGTTAGGGGTTGGGGTTGGGATCCAGTTCATGGAAGCCTCTGACAACTCCTCTTGGGTTTTCCTGTTTCTAGTGCAGCTGCTCCTGGACCACGGGGCTGATCCCAACCAGAGAGACGGGCTGGGGAACACACCTCTGCACCTGGGTGAGTGCCTGAAACGCTGCCAAGACACCCTCCTCTGCGGCACAGACACGGTCCTCTGATGGAGAGCTTGGGGTCCTTTGGGCTCCCAGCAGGATCTCTTGTCATCTTGGGGAGAGCCCAAGCCCCCAGGATTGCACTCAACTCCCACAGTCTGTGTCCCATGGAATTCCCCATTGATCACTAGTTGGCTGTGCCCTAAGCAGAGCTGATTTAATAACCTAACCTGGCTCAGAGGCGGCTCTGCTAGGGGAGGTGAGACCTGCAGCCAGTTCCTGCCCTGTGGCCGACTCACACCGTGGCGCATGGTGAGGCAGGTCCCATCTTCAAGCCTCAGTTGCCCCAGTGGTACAGGGAGGGAGCTGGACTTGATTGCTGAGTTCCACCCAGTTTCTGCCTTGGTGATGCCTTCTCAGGAAGCACAACCTGACGCAGGCACACTCAGAGACACAGTTCTGCTCCCTCCAATGGGCACACAGGCACACAGGGCCAAGCCCTATCCTTCTCAAATCCCTATTCTTCTTCCTCAGCGGCCTGTACCAACCATGTCCCTGTCATCACTACACTGCTTCGAGGAGGTATGTGGTCCCTTCCCTTTCTCCTTCCTCTTTCACCCTCGCCCCAGTATGCTCACCCCTGCCCGCTCCCACAGGAGCCCGTGTCGATGCCCTGGACCGAGCTGGCCGCACGCCCCTGCACCTGGCCAGGTCAAAGCTGAACATCCTGCAAGAAGGCCACTCTCAGTGCCTGGAGGCTGTGCGGCTGGAGGTGAAACAGGTGGGTGCCCCACTCATGCTGAGCCCCTGGCGCCAAGCAAGTCCCAGACAGGCGTTGCCCTCACACACACACTCCTGCCTCCTGTGCCAGGGCTCTCGAGTCGCTTCACACTGACCCCAGTTAGCACCTGTTCCACTGTGCCTCCCAGCTGGGACCCTCTGCAGCTCAGCCCACCCCCTCTTTTCAGATCATCCAGATGCTGAGGGAGTACCTGGAGCGCCTGGGGCGGCACGAGCAGCGGGACCGGCTGGACGACCTGTGTACCCGCCTGCAGATGACAAGCACCAGAGAGCAGGTGAGCCGCAGCCACAGGTCCAGACCCAGGGCCTGGCAGGAGCCTCAGGGCCAGTCCATCCCTGCTCTGAGGCAGCCAGACCCTCATCGTAGAAAGAGGCCATGGCCATGGGGTTGCAGCCCAATGAGGATCTCAAAGCCTCCACCCACTTCCTTTGAAGCTGCTCATGGCCCTTCTCTCTGGGGCAGTCTGAGACCACCTGATGTCGAGGGTCAATCCTTGGACATCTATTCCCATAGTCACAGTGAAGCCACCACTGGGAGGAGAGACAATGTCTGCCCTCTAGGCCTGTGGTAATGGGGAGGAGACCAGGGCCTGTCCCAACATCCTGTGACAGAGCCTTACTTCTGTCCTGCAGGTGGATGAGGTGACCGACCTCCTGGCCAGCTTCACCTCCCTCAGCCTGCAGATGCAGAACATGGAGAAGAGGTAGCAAGAGGGGCTCCCTGCCTTTCCTCCCTGCCCTGCCCTGCCCACCTGCCTTGCCATTACAAAGAAAAGCCTAGTGCCTGCGATCATGGAGCTGCACTTGTTGGGGGGGCCCTCACCCCCAACCCCAGATGCTACGGGCCAGACACGGTCTCCATCGTCTCTGCGGGCCGGGAGCACA